CCCCGTGTCCCGCGCCGCCCGCCGGCCCCCCCCGCCGCCCCCCCCCCCCCCCCCCCCCCCCCCCCCCCGGACTTACATAGAGGCACTCGACGTCGGATTTGTTGTCTGTCGCACCGCCGCGGGTGAGGTGAGACTGTTTGAATTCCTTGTAAGGTATCGAGCCAAAGCACGGGTAATTACCACGAGGGCCGCTGCAAATTCGTGTCTCCAAAGCCGTCCCGAGAGCCAGGAGGGAGAACGCAACGAGAGCGATGGCGACCATATTGATAGACGTGTGACGGTGCTTGTTCGGACGATGCTGGAGTCTGTACTGACGATTGATGTAAGAGATACGAGAAGCAAGATGATATGGGCGAATTGAAGGGATCCAAAATTGAGAATATGATGCTTGTTCCGGGGAGATGAAGTCGGGGAGCTGGGGGACGAGAAGGGGTCTTTGCAGATTGCCGGTCTGGTCCCCAATTACCAAGGAGTATCGAGGAGGAAGTCACAGCCCCGAGACTGCCAGTTTGGATATTTAAGACGCTTTCCGCGGTTGACCGTCCTTGGGAAGTCGATGGGAGCCTGGCTGCCTTCCGTCCCTAGCCATGGTGTCTCCTTCTCAACTGCTGCGAGGACATGGCGATGGCGGAAGAAGGAGAAAGCCACAGCCATGGCTGCTTTCCTGACCGTATGTCTGGCTTTTATTGTTGGAGACGCATGAATATCGGCAACGAACTTTCTACCCCAGACTACTCAGAGGAGAATCGGAGCGTGAAGGAACCTATCCTCTTTTGCTCAAGACGACAAGTTGGTGTTACTGAGGGGCAATGCCCACCAGAAATCGGAATAGATCAACAAGGACATGGAATTCTAGCCGCGTCGTCGTTTATACCTGCTTGTTCGAGCTTCACTCGCGACGTCGCGTCAAGATATCACAGGAAGTCGGTAACAAGCAGCCTCGTATACGAACCAGTTGTTCCTTAGTTCGTCATCACGAAGGTCTAGAGGCCTTCCTGAGTCCCGATGGACTGCGGGTCATCCCTATCAAAGACTCACCCCGAGGCGATGGACTCGTGGGCCCTGGGATCGTATTAAGTTCATCTTTCAAGCTAGTTGGCTCGTCGATTTCGATGTCGTGCAGGCTCTTCAAAAGATTGTCAATGTCGGTGTTATCCAGCCCAGACCGCACCCTCACGTGAGGTTTGTTCCGCGCAAGAACTCATCATGGGAAATAATGACAAGCACACAGGACAGTAACAGGCACAGAGTGTTTCCCGCAGCCATGGAAGTCACCGGCTTTCTCTCCATGACAAGCTTGCTCAGGACCCCAGTCTCAGATCTCAACGTCACACGCCCGCTTCTCTAGACAACGTGATTTAACTGTTGCCGCTTCTCTAAAGGAGCCCAAGCAGCGTACCCGATTCTGTGCTCGCGATTCCTATGAAGTAATGCAGACACTGACTCCATGCCAGATCTCAATGAAACAGTCTCCCTGGACAATAGCCAGCCACAAGACACACAATCCAAAATATCTACTCATCCGTGAAATATGCATACTGCCGGCGGGCCAGGAGCTATCTCACCTCCAACTCACAGCCCAACAAGAATCGTCTCTTCCTTTCTGCGGTCCTTTCTCCTTCACCGCAACTACCTACCGTACCCAGCCCAAGATGCTCACACGACCAGCCGGCAAACAGCTCTTGTCGGATGCCATGCGCGACCATGACGCTGACTGCTATATTAGGGATCACGATACAGGCGAAGACACTCACGAATGGAGACAATCTTCCTTCCATCTTGTTGTCTCTCGTTACCTTCCAAAGCTACAATGAGTCTATCTCAAAATGCAATGTGGGATATAGCTCAGGTAGCAGCGTATCGTCTAACATCCAGACCCCCTTAATAAAGGCAACGGGACGACAACTCCCCAGGGACGCAGCACGCATACAACAACGGAAAACAGCTCTCGAGTCGTGCCCCCGACCAGTCTCATACCTCCAAGAACTTCCTGCCTCTTTTCGACTGACCCCTTTTCTAGAAGATTCCCGGTTCTCATGGACTTTGGCCGGCGCGCTTCGAGGGACTCGTGCAGTCAGACGGCCTCCTTTTCAAGCCCACCTACGACTCGTCGAGGCGAGAAACGGATGGGAATCAGATAGTGTGGTAGATAGGTTCCTGCGTGGGCTTCGTCGGCGTGGCGTGTTTATCAGAAGTGCGGTGTCTGGGCGTTGATGGCCATGAGAGAAAGTTTCTCATTCACAACTCTGGACACTCACTTCATCTGTCACGTCACCAATCACCCCATTCAATTCCTAGAAACGCAGATGCCCGGGTACTTGAGATCTCTCCGGGCGCGAGGTCATCTCGACACCAGGCTGTGTTATTCATGTCTTCGAAACCAGCCCGCAGTCGAAGTGTCTGCAACACTTCGAGACACGCGTCCGCAATTCTCAGTAACTCATCACCGAGCCCGAGCTCTTCACATTTGCATCGAGAGGAGAAAAAAACACACACAGAAAGACTAAAAGCAGCAGCTGGTATCGTAAACCTCGAATGCTGCAGCCCAACCTCCTGGTTCGAAAAAGGAGTACGCAGTGTCATCACGGCGGTGCTTCTGGGAGAGAGAAGAACAGATGGGGCTGGATCGATGGCAAGCCATCTGAAGTTTTGGTATCGCAAACCTCGAAGGCTGCAGCTCAACGTCCTGGTTGGGACATGTATACGCAGCGTCACGGCAGTTCTCCTGGGAGAGGGGACTGTCTTGATGGCAAGCCATCTCAAGTTCGCCGGACTTAGGTACGTCACACGCATCTACCGAGTCCGTCCCTTTCTACAATGAAAACCCAAAATTGTGAGATCATCTGCTACTTCTTGCAGGGACTCGACTGCCAACTTGGACGTCGGCCCAATCAAGCAAGCTGGTGTGTTAGCCTGTGTAGTGCCCTTGACCACATAGACTGACGACGACGGTCTCGAATCTCAAGTCGAACCTCGCGACGCTGTCATCTCGATGGCCATACCACTGACAGACTGGCTGTCAGCCATCATCCACGATATCTTCCGTCGCCGAGCAGACTTGAGCTCCATCAACCCCAAACTCAGTCCACGAACAGCCATACGCACCTCTCCACGCGTCCAAGTATCAGCGACCAGAAACTCTTCCACGCAAACTGCCACCGCATCACAAATCGCAAACAACTCCATCGAAACGTCGCATCCACTAACTGCCTCCAGCACGACACGAAAAGAAAGGCCAAGGAAGGGGGGGAAAACCTCCGGCCGGCCCCGCCTGACTCGTCCAAACCCCCAAACAAGCATCTCCCAAGCCCCATCCACCATGCGCATGGCCGCATCGCCAAAGATAAAACGTGCTCGCGCGATAATGGCGATAGCGATAGTAATCCAAGGCCATCAACGAGACGTGGAAGCCGCCGGTGCAAGTTGATGGCACAGGTTTCACAAACCAAAAGCAGGCCCGGAACGTGTCCGATATGCGATATGCGATATGCAGGACGCGCGGGCAGGGTTCATTCGATCCCACGAACGATAACACACTCTTCATTATCACCATCACTCTTTACTCCCGCTCCCATTCGTCCCAAGTGCGGACGCTGGCCGCAGAAATGCGACGTAGCAGCGATTCGTGATCCGCGCTTCAGATGATATCTTAACCGTAGACCTGGGAAGACAAGACGCGGCGGAATCACGTCCCCTTTCCGAAATCCCGCAGCGGACTAGCAATAAGCTACGTTGCTACCCACCGCAAGACGAAATCTCGAATCCAGATCTCGACTTAGGGGGGAGAGATAGAGGGAGGGGGTGGAGGTGGACGACCGGCAGGTGGGGGTGGGGGGATTTCCTGTCCGCGTTGAAACCTGCGCGTGACAGGCGTCAACTGTCAGTCAAGACTCCAACGAAACCAGCGAGTGAGTATCGCGTAGAGCAGTCTCATGCCCCGAAGCTGCCATCTGATCGCCAGCAGAAGATGCGGTTCCGGGGGAAAGAACAGAAAGCAGATGGGCGCCGCTCGAAGATTCGGCGTGGAACAGATAAGATCCCAGTCTGGCGGTGCTTGCGTGGAGTTCTTCCCGTCGTCTATTCGCGGGGCTAGACTCCGTTTAGAGTCGTTTGGAGAGGTTACAACGCTCAAAAGGCTCTTTTCTCATGGCCTGCTCCAGACGGCGGCGTTGAGTTTCTGCACTCTAACTGACTCTTGCCATAGTAGAAAGAACGAGAGAGAATAAAAATCTCGTTGGTCGTTGGTGCGCGATTCTTAGCTCGTCCAACAGGTCCCGAGGCTAACGAATGGCACCTCGACCGGCGCAAAAAAGCCACAACCGCGCCTCTTGGCAGATGGTCGGGTTCTCTTTCTAGCCTCTGCCCGTTCTCAGAACGACCTGGACCCGGCCGCTGTTGCTGTCTCACTGCCTTGGAAACCATTCCTGGCGTTCCCGCCGCGGGGGTGCTTTTGCTTGCGTGCCAGGCTTGTCGGTGAACTACCCTAACCTGCTGTTACTAGCAGCATTCAGTTAGTGTATAACGCGCACGAGGTTTATTAGACGAGACAAGAACCCGTTCCCATGATGTCAGAACGAAGCTTGACCTGGTTTTGTTCTTGGTCCTGTTGGAACCATTTCGTGCAGGACTCGTCGAGACTCGATGAGACTTGGATCAGACGACAGGTGGGCTAGCGGCGCTGGACAATAGGCGGCGGGGCGGAACGCAGCTCGTTGGGTGAATGACACAGGCTTCCCCGCGGCGCTACAGGCGACTGATGCACTGCGCGAGTCGGTCGCTGAGCGGCACAGAGAAAATGATCCGCTTGCTGTTTGCTGCTCGCTTAGAGCCCAGTCACGAGTGTGTCGTGATCTCCGCGAGCTGAAGATTGACTGTTTTACAGGTGGAAATGGGGTAGATCATGCACCAAAGATTGTTTGGCAACCTCGGTGGAAGCGAATAAGGTGGCGAGACCTACTCTGAGGATCGCGATAACCAGCCCGTTGGTATTGGCCTCCCACTTCCCTTACCATCTGCATAGAAGCCCTGTCGAAGAATGGCTGTTGCAGGAAATCAGACAAAGAGAGGGTGTGAAATACCGGAAGAAATAGGATGTGGTGTGTTGGACGCGAGAGCCAAGGCCCGGAAAAGCGCATCCCAAGAGACGAGAGATGCAGCCGTATCTCTTGGACTTGTGCCCGCCTCTGGTCAAGCCGACTTGGCTTTTACCTCCCGAGGGGGCCAAAAGGGGGCGGGACTGACCGCTCAGCAGGCGGTTGAGGC